TTGGACGAAGTTAGCATGCGGTAGACCTCGTTTCTGAAATTCAATTAAGCATACATCTGCATAGAAAATATAAACATATGGTATTAAAAAAATATGCATTAATTTAGTTAAGGAAGCAATAAGTAGTTAAACTCACACATGAGAAAATTCTTTAATTTATATGAATGAAGTAAATGTATAATTATAAACTGAGATCTAATTAAATACTTACATGCTGTAATACGTCTGAATATACAACCTTTCTTGATTTCAGTCATCATACTATCGAGCTTCATCTTGAACACACGACAAAGAATGTCTGGCCGATCCTCCGGCCTGAGATTTGTATCTTCAACACCCTTTGTATTTCTGGCCATTGAGGGTTGGAGATCCAATCCAGTTACATATTTGAAGAGCATCAACGAAGTTGTTAAACGTATACCTTGGACCTGCGGTGAACGACCCTGGAATTATAATGCGTTGTCCAATTGATTTACCCTCAGTGTCTCCTTTAAAAATATTTTCTTCGATACCCTTGTACATGTCAACCCTAAGTTGATTTTGATTGAACCTTATGAAATTCAACCTCTGTGACTCTACCATCGAAAATACATCAACACAGAACTGCTAAAATAACTTCTTGAAATGCAAAAGTAACAAATGTTATCAACGTCATTTCTGGATTAGATATGCAAAGAACTCTCGCATGCTTACCTTCCTCCATTTTCTATTATCAGCAAGTGAAGATTCTCTCAAACAGATAAAAGAGGATACTGTAGAGGCAAGTAAAGAGGATGGAGCTCACTGATTCGTTGAAGCTTATTTGAGCGTGTCTCAGCTACAATATCCCTAAACGCATGTAACGAATCCAATACAATGCAATTGACCTGCTATTTTGTACAATGATTATACAAAATAAGTAAAGCGTTACCAAAATAATACAAATATAAATATTTAATGACATAAAATCATTCTACAATATACCTTGATAAAAATATTGAGTGAAGCCCGTAGCAAGTTCCTAGTACAATGCAAATTAACCTACAAATGAGGAATGCCAAAACATATAAGTTATACAAAATAAAGGTCATTATGTAAAATTGTATAAGATTTTATATAGTTACCTTCATATATGCCGAAAAACATCTTTGTACCTCAT